ACTAAATTACTCAAAGAAATATTACACTGCTTTACTCTCCCAATATCTCCTCTCATCTCCTCCCCCTACATGCCTTCATACTTTTCTGATTAGTATTTAAAAATGTGTATCTACCTTGTTATTCTTAGAAATAATACCTAAATATTGCCTGACAGGCACCCTTCCTAAAAGATCAGAGTAAAGTTTGGATGACCCTAGTCCATGCATGCAGCTCATCTGTGTTATCATGACCATGTCATGCCATGGAATACATAAAGAAATAAAACTAAGTGAGCTAGCAACATAGTGAAAATCAACCAAACTGATCATTGTCACACCCTATACATTGCTTCATCTGCATTTCATCTTCCCAATAAATCCACCCTAGCAGGAAGAATGCTGACATTGTTAGATGTTTTGTTAGGATCAGTAATTTTCAAGACAGGATTGCAAAAAGCCCCAAAAAGCCTGATCTGGTGTTAGTGCTGCCCTTGCCATGAGTGAGAGAGTAGACTAGATGCCTCTTCAGTCCCAAGTTACCCTGTGATTCTCTGCCAGTGTTTTGTGTATCTGACAAGCTGTAGGTTTTAATAGCATTTTGGATGCAAGTCCCACAAAAAAGAGGAGAACTTTTCAAGTGCCTGCCTATGAATCAGATGTCCGTTGTGCACGCACATGAAAACCAGCTGGCTTTCCACAGTAATCTACTGAGGACCAAATCCACAAACAGTAAACACAGGCGGCCAGGCTGACCTACATCAGCGTTTCCGGTGTGACTAACACCTTTTGATGTATTCAGCATGGCAATTTCCATGGTGAGCTGCAGGAACACCAGTAATTCTTCAACAACAGCTAGCAAGATGTGCAGGGACAGATGCTGTATGGATAAACTATGGTACCAAATGATAAGAGCCTGCATTCAAACACCTTTCCTGTGCTGAGCCTTTCAAAACAGAGAAACTCCTTGCACAAGGACACTTTTTTGCTGTGTTTTTTCTTTAGTGAAATCCAATGTTTCCAAGAACACCAGAAGATACACTCCCTTCTGCCCTTTGTTTTACATGCTTGGATGACCAGATTTTTAGATCAGGTCAAACAAATTCCAGAGTAGTTTATCAGTCACTTAATAAGCTGTAATACCTTGACTGCATACCAAGGTCAAATATTTCTGCAGTACTGCTTTTTATAAGGCCTCATCAACATGTTAAGTAAGATAACATTCTTATCTCTGCATCCAAGTTATTTTGCAACTTCGTCCCATCTATCACACCTAGCTATCTTAATAGATCACGTTTAGAAACAGTCCTCATACCTCCCATGAACATGTTTTTCATCCTTCTTTTTATTCTCACCATATTATCTTTTAATTTTTCTGTTTGGCACCTCTAGCATAAATGAAATAATAAAACAGGAACCATCCCAGAATTCTGCAGTAATATTTAAGGATGTTATAATCAGCTTCATGAAAAAAGGCTGCAAGACTCATTAACCCAGGCACATACTTGTTTTTACCATGTATAGTCACACAAATGGCACAGACTGAGTTTTGTTCTGCCTCCTAAAAAAAAAAAAAATCCAATCTAAAAATATTTCAATTGATCTTCCTTCCTCCAGTCTGAGTGAGCTGATATTTATATTTTCCGTAACATAAAAGACAAAAGCTGCACTGGCCTGCAAATGAATGGCTATTTAGACCCGCCTAATACACTATTCTTAGCAGTTGATGTAAGGAACTGCACATGTGGCAACACCCACATTTAGGTTTCAGTGAATGTGCATCTTCTGCTGACTAGGCCTGCAGATGTTGCTTTGGAAAACTGATCACTGAAACAATGGAAGGCACAGAAAAAGGGTGCTTTGATACACATATATGACATCTCATTTCTGTGTACTGGTCTGTCCAGGAAATAGGTATCTTTCCGTATAATGTTATTCTTGGCTAGATATTATAACTGACTGTATCAAGACACAGTCTTTACCTGGGAAGCTTCATGCAAGCTATGCTACAGCCTTGCTTCATCTTACCTCTACTTCTGGGGCTGTTTGACTGAATCAGTTAATGGAATTTTCTATCATATCTTTACATCACAGGTTTTGAAGTTAGGCCTTGAAATTCTCTTCACACAACACAGGATAGTTAAGAATGGTAGGTTTTGGAGGAAGACTCACACATTTCATTAACATCTAATGGAGAGGAAAAGGGAAGAGGTCTCGCATCACAAGCATTTCTTGAGGTTGAACAGAGAAGCTATAAACTAAACTCAAAGTAACCTTCGGTTGTCAAGGCTGCAAGACCATTTCTCCCATGGGACAACAAATAGCCCAATGCCTACACTGATGGTCATCTGGTGCTTTAAAGCATAAAACCTGGGAGATGCGACAGCATAGATGAGCAGTGCGCTGATGTGTTCCCCATGGCTTGCCTGCTACGAGGCTAAGCCATAGCGCTTAGCACAGGGTAGAAAGGGCTGTGACTGTTTCTTTCTGCTACAACCTAAGTAGTTAATCCCTGTGACCAGGTTCAGCAGGCAGGCACAAAAATTTCAGCCTTTATAACTATAGAGAATCATCTTCTGTCAACAGCAATCCGTACGGTTCCCTGGTCAATAAAAACTCACTTTACCAGCACGGATCAGCTGCAGCCTGACAATATGCCGAAACATGACTGCAGTTACTGTAATTCTTCAAAATGCCTGGTGTTGTTTGCAGCAATTTTTGTCTTTCCTGAGTCAAGTCTGCCTCAGCTAGCTTCCTTCTTCTGTCAGTTACCAGGACTGGCCATACAGCATAGCATCAGTGAAACGACAGCACAATAACTCCCTACTGTTTAAGAAACACTTCCATTGCGTATTAATACTCTGTCCATCAAATCCACAGATACCGCTGGAGGAGCAGTCACCTATGCCTTACAAAGCACTGAAGGTTTCCCATGCAGGGTAGTAACAGCCCACATACATGACCTCTTCCACCTTGCATTAGAAAACTGCTACTGAACAGCCGCTGCTCCCTTCACGTCACACACTGATTGCAAAATGGATAGGAAGGGCCATAAATCCTCCTGATATGTGGTGGCACACTAGCTTCTCAATCAAATTGAAGCAAAGTTATGGCAAGGAGTAGGACATACTGCACGTAACAAGCAACTTCACAGCTCTTGGGAGGTCTGTGTCTCAGAAAACTTAGGATCTTATGTCACTGAAGACATAAGAGTCCTGGTCTAGAAGGACATGTCAGATAAGCAAGGGTGCACAGACACTAGAAGCACATCCAGCCTTTCTTCAGTGGTTTTAAGAACTGAGTGAAACCAAGCAGCAATAATGAAGGAAATGCACCAAAAAAATCAAACTCATTTGCAATGACAGAAAGTTGGCATTGTCCTACAAAACATGCTTAAGTGGCATGACTGTATATTAAAGAATTTATATTATACATGAAAATATTTTAAACCAAAATGATTTCACTATTGTCATTACACTAGGAGAACTGGTATTTTTTTTTCAATTTACAAAATAAATTACCAAATATTGTTAAAAACATATTTACACAGTATACCACCCTCTAAACTGATCTATCAATGCATCGCCTTCAGCTACTTTCTTGGCCAGAAGCCAGTTAGTAAAACCAGTGACCTCAGATCATCTTTGCTCCAGAATGCTACAAAATCACACTTACAGTTTTCCCTGCATTCACTGCTATGCAGTGAATATTTATACTGAGCTTAAAGTTGTATTACTCAACACGAATATGGAAGCAGCTGTGCCAGCCACACTCACTACATTACAGTTATCCACTGTAGCTCAGTTTTTGCAGAACAAAGCAAACGCTGCTGTGTGCAGATGTGACTACACATACGCTTAAGAGGTGTAACATTAAACACTGCCTGGGCAAGTGCTCCACATTAATCTCTAAAATAAAGATTGTCAAAAATCCATTGTAATGTTTTTGCTGTACTTACTACTGCCTTGTGACAACAAGCTACTGCGCTGTATATCCAGTGCTGAGACTGCTAATGAGGCACACATGTCAAGACTTGTCTGACTGAAGCATAAAACATCTCCTCAGTTGAGTCCCTCCCTTGCCTGTGGTTTGTGTGTCTCTATGTACACACACACACACACACACACACATGCTCTCTCTCTCTCTGTCCTATCTTCTCCCTAGAGCATCATACCATTTAACAGGAACATGCTGTGCAGTATCAAGCTTCAGTCTGAACACCAAGAAAATCCACTTCCCACTGCTAAATCAATTCCAGATAATCTTTGCAATGAGAAGAACCTATCCAAAACAGTGTTGAGAGGAGGTGTAAAGTGACTGGAAGAATAAGCCAAGCTTAGTAAAGCATCCACATGCTGCTAAAAGTGAGAAGACTGAAGTGAAAGTCAGCCTTGATAATACTGGAAAAGACAGCTCTGTGTGTAGTGTGCATTCTGTAATTGTGTGAATCCACACCTGTTAGTGCAGAAATACCACGTTCCCATACACGTGCTCTCCTGCTGTTGTAGTGTCAGGTCCTGAACCTACTGATTCCAAGATGCTGACCAAGCTGAATATGGGCCCAAAGGATTTACGAGTGGTTAGGACATACTTCTTCTGAGGAACCCCTGTTGTGACATATGCTGCAACACTAAGGAGATTTTAAATACAGCTGGGATGGGAAGCTAAAGTAAAGAGGAGCGATGGTAAAGCGCCCAGACAGAGATGCCGTATCATTATTTTGCGCTGATCTTGCTTCATGGATTCAGACCATGAGTGAGCAGGTGCCAGATCGGGCTGCTCACCTAAACCAGGCTCACCGAGGCACTCCTAACTGGACAGCCCTGACTGCCCTTGTGCAGGCTGAGTACTAGGGTGTCTTCCTAATTGCCTTTCATTCACCTGATGGTCCTGAGTCCTCCTCCTACCGACGGCTTACCCAGCTGTGCCGGCAGCTGGCACCCAGCCGCGGATGGATAGAGGGTGGGCGGGAGCGTAGGGCCGGACAACCCACTCAAATCTCCGCGGCGGCTCTGCTCCCTTACCGTCTCCGGGTCGTTCTCAAACACCTCCCGGGCCTCCTCCTTGCTGCAGTGCTCCTCCACGCACTCCCTCTCCAGGTGCCCTTGCTTGGTCTCCTCGAAGATCTGGTAGGCTCGCCGCTGCCTCTGCCGCAGGAACTGGGCAGCCTCCGGGGCGCGCAGCAGCACGGCTGGGCAGCCGAGCGCCGGGGCGGCGCGGGGGAGGCGAGGAGGAGGACGAGGAGGACGAGGAGGACGAGAGGAGCAGGAGGAAGGAGCAACGGTGAACAACGGAGCCCGCCTGGCCGCCCCGACCCCTCCGATCCCCCACCCCGCACACCAAACCGCCCCGCCGGGGAGCACCGACCCTCCTTCCGGGGCGCACCGAGCGCCCTCCCTGCCCGGCGCTTCCCCCGGGGGTCGCCGCGGCCTCGGCGCGGCCCCTCGCCCGCATCTCCCACTGCACCCGCCGCCAGCCGCCGTCCCTACCGCAGCCGCGAAGCTGCGCATCCCCCCGCACCCCATCCCTGCCCCAGCTGCACACCCCCCCTCACACACACACACACACACAAGGCGGCGGGGGATGCTCGCCGGCGTGTGCGGGGGGGACGGGCCCCCCGCGGTACTCACTCTGCGAGGAGTCCGCCGCCAGCAGGACGAGCAGCAGGGCGGCCCCGAGGGGCGCCGCGGGATGCGGCATGATGCGGCGCGGCGGCTGCGGCGGGGCCGGGCCGGGCCGGGCCGGGCTGGCGGAGCGGCGGGAGCGGCGCGGGGCGGCGGCGGCGCGGGCGGGGAGCGCGCTGCTACTGCGGGAGCGCGGCGGCGGGAGCCCAGCGGGGAGCCGCGGAGCCGCTCGCCCGCCCGCCCTGCCCAATCGCTCGCCAAGGCACCGCCGAGCCGCCGCACAGCGGACACACCTCGCGGCGGAGCGGCCGCCCGGCCCGGCCCCGCGTACCTGCCCGGGAACGGCAGTCACCGGGAGTCGGGCCGATGGACAGCCGGCAGGACCCGGGGAGCGGGCGGAGAGGCTGCGCCCTCACCTCCAGGCACATCTCTTTAATAGCTCCCGGGCTTATCACTAGGAAGGGAGAAGCTGGCACGAAACCCAATCCAGTCTTGCTGTAAATTAGAAACTTGGCTTTTCCCCACACACCAACGCAGGTTTTCTTCAGGAATACATTTTTAGTTTATTTCAGTATTTTAGGATAGCCTCCTCAGGAAGGAGATGAATGTGGTTTATACCAATATGTTGCAAGCCATCCTTTACTGTCCCTTGTTCATCCACACTTACACAGAACATGTCCAATGTGGGAAACCCTACTAGCTGTAACTCAGAGCTGTAGGATCAGAGCTCAGAGCTGCACTTAAATTGCCTAGTTGCCACCACTTTTAAGTCACCCCTTTTATCTGTACTGCCCTGCGGAAGGGTCAGTGTGACAGATGAGTAACACCGACTCTACATTTTCTTCAAGAAGACTTCAGTGGCATAACCTGTTTGAAAAGAAGAACTTGACTAGTTTAATTTTATTATTTAGCTAAATCTAATACAGGCTTTGTGTATCCACAATAAGTTACTACAAATATAATACATGTAAACAACGTATTTATATCACATGTCATTGAAGTAACATACATGAAAACATCAGAGCATACTCATTCAAAGCAACCATCCCTAGGCTGGTATGTTCTGTCTTGACAATGGCCAACAGCAGACATAGAGGTAAAAGGTATAAGAGCATGTAAACCACCATGGTTTCTTTCTGTTTTCAGCTCCGAAAGTACAGAGGAAGAGCTCTCAGGTAAAAGCTGTGCCCACTGCAACACTAACAGCCACAAATGTACCTCTTGTCTATGAATTTGTCAAACAGCTTTTTTGATCTGTTGATACTCCTGGTCTTCAGGTGTGTCAGGAAGGTTCCAAATGTGCACAAAGGCTAGACAGGAACTTTTTCTCACAGGTTTTAAGTCCAGTGCTTAATAATTTTACAGGGTACTTGCATATTTGTCATGTAGCAAATGGTGAATGATCATGCCCTATTTTGTTTTCACCACACCGTTTTATGGACCTCTCTCATGATTTCAGAACCATCCCTTTTCCTGAACTATAGAGCTTTGTTCTATTATTTGTTTCCCAACCTCTCTGAACTGGCACTGCTCAAAGAAGCAATCCCACCAGTCCCCATTGCTTTTTCCTGTCCTTTGGCTAATCCTCATCTTGTGCTAGAATGCAGCAAACCCAATCAGAGTAACCCAACAAAAATTATTGATGTTATTTCAGATCAGTTCCCCCCCAAGTTGCTGCACAGCTGCACAAACACCAAAAGGCTTTCAGGGGTGACAGCGAGGAGCTGCAGGCAAAGGAGCGTGGGCCTAATTTCAGCAGCAAAGCTGGCCAAAATGGCTTGTGAAGCTACAGCTGCAGGCATAGCTTTCCTAGGACTGGCTGCCACCTTCCTCCCTATGTCTTGTGTCCCCCTGCCCACATCCAGAGATGTGGCTGTGCTGTTTCAGCTCAGTCACCTGGCAGGAAGCTCTTCCCTTTTTTTAGTGTGTGTGTTTTCTACCAGGTTACTGTGCTGAATCAACTCAATGACAGCATGAAGAAGTGTGGAGTGGTATTGCAGCACTAAATCCATAGTCTGCTCTGGGATTTCAGTCTGGGCCCCTCCAACAGAAACCATTCCTGATCTTTGTTTCCATCCTACTCTGTATCTTTTCTATTTAGATCTCTTTTCAGACAAAGTGGACAAAACTACATGCAATATTCAAGATGTGGTTTTACAGCAGCACTGTCCTGCTTCTTTCTTTCTTCTGTTCTTTCTTACTATTTCCAAACATTGCATGGCTTCCTTTTTACTTCCTGACTTATTCTTTTCAAAGAACCATGAACAAGTGGTCTGAGACCTCTTTCCTGAGTGGAGTTGCTGTTTTACCAGTGAATACAGAAGGTAAGGGTTGTCTTTCATGGGTGTATCACTTTGTGTGTCTGTATATTAAATTTCACTTGTCATTTATTTTCCTGTCACATTAAAAATTCTATCAAGCAATACAGCCGAGTGAATCAAACAGCTTCTTGCTACCAGAACAGGTTGTCCCACTTTTCCTTCCCTCCATGCTTCCACCTTTTCCCTAGATGTACAATCTCTGTATGCTTTTGTCACTGATGTGACCTCTCAGCAAGTCAATTCAACTTACTAAGCAAAGATAAAAGTATTCCTTTGTTTTTCTAAATGTCTTGCGATATTCTTGATTACCAGTTTAGGATTTGTCTCTTTAGATGAGTTTTGCATTATTTGCCAACTGACCTCATGGCATTAAACTTTTCCATAAAATTTCTGAAGATGTTGAACAGCAGAGATTTTTGTGGGTTCTGGAAACTGCATTATATTGTGTAATCTAATGATGAGTTTTCTTTCCTTTAGATGATTATTTTATCCGTTTCTGTTTATCCCATATGATCACATTTTGAGAGCATATGGGGAAAGACCAGCTCAAAATATTTTTAAAATCCAGGTATGTCATGTTATCAGAACCATCCTTATCTAAATAAATATCACTTCTTGAACTTCAAATAGGTTTGCAAAACATGACATCCTTCTTGGTATGCAATGCTGATTCTTCTCCAACATATCATTCAGTTTACCAATTCTATTCCTTATTATATTTTCCAGTAAGTTGTTTGGCACAGCTATCAAGCACTGATTTCAGTGAGCTCAGAAGTCCTTTCAATAGTCGTATTTTCCACCTTCAATTCTTCTGGCATGGTAGCGTTTAAGGCAGATCTAAGCAATGAGTTGCATAAAGCAACAGTTTCATTTTCTTCATAATTTATGGGTTTATTCCATCTGATCTCAGCTATTCCAGTGAAAGATCAGTTAGGGAACATGAAAAACAGGATATAAAAATAATGCAGGGAATCTTAAAACAATGTTATAGGAAATGCCTGTACGCTCAGCATGTCCCATTTTAGACTCTCTTCTGATTTTAGAGTAATATAGGCACAGAGGTTTCCAGATGTAAACCTGAACTGTAGGATTAGTTTCCACTGGGTTTTAGACACTATTCAGAAATATGCACCAAATTTAACAAATTTTGAGAGAAGTGACTAAAAATACTACTAGAAGGTGTTCATTAAAGACCAAAAATCAAAAAAATCACAGAATCACAGAATATGCGAGTTAGAGGGGACCCACAAGGATCACTGAGTTCAACACTCAGCCCTGCACAGGACCATCCCCAAGAGTCACAACATGTGCCTGAGAGCACTCTTCAAACACATCTTGAACTCTGTCAGGCTTGGTGCTGTGACCAGTTCCCTGGGGAGCCTGTTCCAGTGCTCAACCACCCTCTGGGTGAAGAACCTCCTTCTAATATCGAACCTAAACCTCCCCTGACACACCTACAAGCCATTCCTTCAGGTCCTGTCACTGGTCACCACAGAGGAGAGATCAGTGTCTGCCCCTCATCTTCCTCTCATGAGGAAACTAGACTGCAATGAGGTCTCTCCTCAGTCTCCTCTCCTCCAGGCTGAACAGACCAAGTGCCCTCAGCTGCTCCTCATACAGCTTTCCCTCAGGGCCCTTCACCATCTTTTTTGCCTTCCTTTGGACACTCTTATATTGTGGCACCCAAAACTGCCACAATGTTCAAGGTGAGGCCACACTAGCACAGAGCAGAGCGGGACAATTCCCCCCTCGACCAGCTGCTGTTGCTTTGCCTGATGCCCCCCAGGACACGGTTGGCCCTCCTGGCTGCCAGGGCACTGCTGACTCATATTCAACTTGCCCTCGACCAGGACCCCCAGGTTCCTTTCCACGGCACTGCTTTCCAGCCTCTTATTCCGCAGTCTGTCTGTACATCTGGGGTTGCCCCATCCCAGGTGCAGAATCCAGCACTCTCCCTTGTTGAACTTCATATGCTTTGTCAGCTAACAGAATTTAAATCAGTCATTCCAAATTCTGATAAGTGTCCATTGGTTTTTCTTCCTTACTTAATCCCAAACAAAAAACCAAGGTAGCATTTACCTTTCAGGGCAAACCAGTGCATAGTATGTAGACAAGCTGCATAGATGTAGTGGAAGAAGGCTTAACTGAGCAAGGTTCCTTTAGGTTCCTGCAACTAATTACATTTGTAGGCACCAATGGTAGAATGAAACTAAAATGTCCTGAGAAGAGTATATAGGCCTCACAACCTTAGAACTGAAGAAGGAGGGTAATGAAGCTGGTAAAGGGTCTGCAGCAAAAGTCTTAGGAGGAGTGGCTGAGTGATCTGGGGTTGTTTAACCTGGAGAAAAGGAGGCTCAGGTGGAGATGTTACGACTCTCTACAACTACCTGAAAGGAGCTTGTATCAAGGTGGGGGTCAATCTCTTCACTAACAAGTAACAGACGAGAGGAAATGGCTCCAAGTTGTGCCAGGAGATGTTTAGATTGGAAATTGGGAAAAATTTCTTCTCTGTAAGAGTGGTTAGGCATTGGAACAGGCTGCCCAAGGAAGTAGTAGAGTCACCATTCCTGGAAGTGTTCAAAAAACATGTGGATGTGGCACGTGGGGACATGGTTTAGTGGTGGACCTCACAGTGCTGGGTTAAAAGTTGGACTCAATGATCTTAGAGGTTTTCCCAACCTAAATGATTCCATGATTTGATATTGTATTATGGAGAAGAGGAGGGGATTCCCAAGCATGCCTGCCCTTCCTTCCATCAATCCTCCAGCCAGGGATACAGTGGCGTGCATGGTTCT